CGAGGAGGACTGCATGAAGCTGAACCCGTCCTTCGTGGGCATCGCCCTCAGCTCCCTGCTCGCCATCGACCTCTGGGCCTCCAAGCGCCTGGGGGTGTGCGCTGGAGAGGGCTCGGCCTGGGGCAGCGCCCGGCCCCTGATGAAGGTGATCGAGGTGTCGGGCCATGGCATCCCCTGGCTGCTCGGCACCTTCTACGGGCTCTGCCAGAGTGACAGCTCGGCCGCCAGGGAGGTGCTGCTCAACCTGCTCTTCGGTGAGGCGGGGGGCTGCGGAGGGGGGACCCCAGGGACGCGGCAGAGCTGGCTGAGCCGAAGCCTCGAGAGCAGCAGCTGGTTTTGAGCAGCCTGTGCAGGCTCATCTGCATGGCTGCCAGCACAGGGAGTGACCCTGCGGCTTCAGGGCGTGGTGGCAGCAGCGCGACTCATCTGTCACAGCTGCCACCACGCACTGGGAAACTCCCGACAGCTTAAACTGCTCCCGCGGTTACAAAATGCTCTCGGGGCTGAAGCCTCTCTTAGCTCCTCTTGTCACAGCAGCGCATTCCAGGTGCAGCTGCCTAGTGTTGAGACACCAGCCCTTTCCCTGAAAAGCTGCTCTGGCACACACACCTTTGCCCTCGGCTCCCTGCAGGCAAGGCCTTGGTGGATTGTTCTCTGCCAGCTGGTGAGGAAACTTTGTTTAAAGCACGAATTTTAATCCTGAGTGATGTATTTCACACACACAGAGCAGCCTAGGTATATTTAAGAAAATTCTTTTTTGCTGATTTAGAAATTGTTATAGCTCCAGAGCACCAGACCTTCTGAGATTCCTTGTTGTTACTTTTGTATTAAGTTGCAAATAATTAGGATCTCACACTTAGAATTTGAATTGAAATTTTCTTGGTGGGAAACGTAGATTTATGCAACTTTCTCATCTAACAGCACATGGTTAAATGAGAGCCCCACAGCAGAGCTGTGGGAAGGGACCTGGATGCTTCCAGCCTAATCTCTGCTCCAGGGAGATCTGTCCCAGCACTTTGTCCAGCCCTCAGTGCTCTGGGCCAGAGCCACCCATCTCCCTGGGGATCTGCCCCATGGCTGCAGCACCCATGTGGGGAAGGAGGATTCCCTCAAAAAAAGCAGTTGATCTAATTTTACATGTGGGAAAAAAAAAAAAATAAAGAAAATTTGCTCTTAAATGATTAACTGAAGGAAATGAACTGAAGCGACCGAAATATTTGGTGTGCAGAAACAAGTCTTAGGACAAACAAAAGTTGGTCTCTTACACAACATCCCTGGAATAAATAGCTCTGGCTGTGAGTGCTAAGCTGAGCTAACAGGGATGAAGAAAGCAGCCTCTGCCCTACATGAGAAGCTGTTCTTGCCAAATCCTGGCTTGAACACTTATCACAGGTACTTTGGTTCTTCTATCACAACAGCCTTTAGCTCTCAAGGGGCAAGCCACCATAAATTATCCTGTATTCATCTCTTGAGAACCAAAGCATGGTTAACTTTTCCTCCAGGAACAGGGAGAAGCCAGACCCAGGAGCCCAGGCACCACACCAACTCTAAGCATTTCCCACTGAGCTGTGCTGGACTGGAGTGGGTTGATCATTCACCCAATCAGTTTGACCCCGCTCACCAGAGCAGACAAAGCAATGCAGAGTCAGCACTGCCAGGAAGAGAGCTGTGGGACTTAATGCCTCCGCTGCTTTCAGATTAAGGAGCAGATTGAGCCCCGAGTCACAGCAAGATCAGATTTTGCAGGAGAGAAAGGCCCTGGGGTGCAGGCTGGGCAGAGCCCTGTCACCTGTGGCAGGCCAAGATCTGCTGGTGCAGGAGGGGTGTGTGCAGAGGAGTAGAGCTTGAGGATGTGCTCATTCTGCTGCAGAGGAGCCAAGAGCAGCTGTGTGCTGTGCTGTTCCTGCCTGGACATGCCTCAGCCATGGGGAAAAACATCACCTTCAGGCAGGTGACAGCCTGGTCCTCCCTAAGCTGATGTTCTGCTTTCAGTAACCCCCTGTTCCTGTCTCTCCCAGCGCTGCTGCTGGACCTGGTGATGGTGGCGGTGGTGAAGGGGCTCGTCAAGCGGCCGCGGCCCACGCACAACAAGATGGACATGTTCGTCACCATCTCGGTGGACAAGTACTCCTTCCCCTCGGGCCACGCCACCAGGGCCGCTCTCGTCTGCCGCTTCGTCCTGCGCCACCTGGTCCTGGCCGTCCCGCTGCGCGTGCTCGTGGTGCTCTGGGCTCTCATCGTCAGCATCTCGCGGGTCATGCTGGGCAGGCACAACATGACGGACGTGCTCTTCGGGCTGCTGCTGGGCTACGCGCTGTACGGCGTGGTGGAGCACTGCTGGCTGTCCCCGGCCACCGCGCCCGCCCTCTTCGCGCTCTGGAGCCACTGAGCGACGGCTGGCGTCGGCACAAAGCATGGGCCGTGTGCTGGTGTTCTGAGCACGCACAGGGAGGGGATTCTGGAGCTTGAACTGGCATCCTAAACCCCATTGTTCTGGCCAAGACTCATACATGAGCTGTGCTGCAGGCTCCAGGGCCTGCGCTCAGCTGTCTGGTGCTGTCCTGCCCTCCTGCTGGGCTGTCGGGCACGGTCTGCGCTGACGGTTCTCTGGTGACCAAAGGCGGTCTCTGCAGAGCCTGGGGAGGGCTCAGCACACCCATCCGGCAGCTCGCTGCTAATACTGTGAATCTGCATGCTCTCGCTGGGCACCTGCACTAGCCCATGGTGTATGTGGTAGCTGTGACTGCAGAGGTTTCTCTACAATCACCCCTGTATCTGTATCCTATAAATACACTGATCATGCTGCTGTCATAAGTATACCCTGCACAGCCTGCTCTACAGCACCTGCCTGCAGGGGACCCACGGGGGTCTCTCCTCAGGGTTACAAAGAGCTTTGCCTCCCTAAGCAATCTCTTCCTTATTGCTCTCAATTTAAGTGCTGCACTAAGGCTAGATGTCAAGCACATGGCTCCCAGAGCCATGGGGAAAAGATAGTGGCACTGAAGGGTTGATCATCCAGAGGGCAACGGGGGAAACAGTTCCCAGCAGCAGCCTGCTCCTGAAGCTCTTGTCCAGAAATTCCCAGTTCCTTTTTCCCTCCATGGGGTTTTCAGTTTCTCAGGGGTGCAATGCATTCACAGCAATTCCTGATTGATAGCATATTCCAGGCTGCAGAGAGAGTCCTGCAGAGCCAGCCCCTTCCCAGAGCCCAGAAACACACCCAGCCCCAGGTCTGAGCCTTGCCTGCACTTCCTGCAGCAAGAGGCCCTGGCTCTGCCAACCACTGCCACAGCTCCCTGTGCTCCAGGCAGGCTGGCTCTCCTCCCCTGGCACCACTGGCAGCCTGTTTTTCACAGAGGACTGCTGGTCCTTGGCAGGAGGGGACCACGAGGAGCCTCTATAATGAGCTGGGGCCGAGACTGAGCCAGAAAGCTGTAGAACACACTTCATCAGGGACCACAGCCAGGCAGGGAGTGAGGGCTCTAGACTGAGCTCAAATCATCAGCTTCAGCAGTGCTCCTGGCATGTGGGTAGAGGGATTGGCGAGGTGAGGCTTTGTGGTCAGTCAGGTCTATTAGTGCACTCAGGCCCTGGAAAGCAGTGTTCTCCTGGCTGGAGTGTGCAGGAGCAGCCTGATGGCTGCTGGTACGAGCACACAGTCACTGTCAGTTGTACAGGGGCTGAAATGGAAGTGCTTGACATGACAGGGTTCCCCTGAAGCTGAGCCCTGACCCACTGACAGGGCGAAGCTTCCTGGGTTGGTGCTGCAGTGACCAAAAAATAATCCCCTGGGTTGCACTGCATGCCTGGCAGCCAGCTGGGCCAGTTCAGCATTTGCACAGCAGCACCAGGACACTCTGGCCAGCCCTCCTGCCCCAAGGCAGACACCAGCCCTGTGGTGGCTGTGGGAGCACAGGCAGGTGGCACACTCTGGGTGGGCAAATTTGGGGTGGGCAGGGCTTGTTGTGCTGTGCCAAAACATCTTTGCTCTACCTTTTCCAGAACAGTATGCTTTCTGTCTGCACTCAGAGTCTGTTCTTGGAGCTGTTGGGGTCTTCCTCTCTACATCATGGAGCGTACAGCAGCAACCCTGTGTGCATCTGTGGCTCCTACACCCTTGTGGCAAAAGGTTGCTCTTGACTCACTTGCATAACACTCCATGAGGTCCTGGTAGCCCCCACCATCACCACTGCACAGCCCTGCTGGGTCACAGGCTGCCTGGCCACCCTCTCACCTCTTCTGTGCTTCTGTGCAGCTCCACCAGAGTGACCTTTGCTCTCCTTCTGTGCTTGTCACTTGTCACTGCCTCCAAGCATGGGTGCAACCCACTGATAGGAGAGAGGAGCTTTCTGCTCCACCTGTCCCACGGCATTTCTGCCCACTGTGGAAGCCCAGAGCAGGGACTGTACAGCAGACACTGCTGCACACACTCTACATCCTGGGTGCTTGCCAGGAATGGGGAACTGTGAATGTCTACAGGTATCAACTAATCAAACACCAATCTGGACCAAAATATGGCCCACCATGACCCTGGTGCCTGACAGCAGAGTTTGTCTGTACTATGACACCAGCTACAGAAGGGTAAAGTCCAGGGCTTATGCAGCAGGTAGGGAGAAGGACAAATTCAGAGTCAACCTGCACAGAGGTTTCATAGCACAGCAGAGCAGTGCAGAGCTCAGAGAGGTCCCTTGTACCTGTTGCCCCTTGGGCAGTCTGTGCAGAGCTTGCAAAAGAGCCAGAAGCCAGCTGACAGCGGGGCAGGAGGAGTAGCACTGCCAGTGCTGTCACCTCTCCGTTCCTCTGCTGATCCCTTGCTTGGTAAGATGTTTTTGATGCTTTTTGACAGGCAAGCATAGAGTGTGGATTGGCAGCTCAGCACCTCTGCCCCAGGCAGAGACCAGCCCTTGCCAACAGCAAGGGACAGAAATAGATTTATTAATCTTACTGTAAACATACAGTAAGGGTTTTAGCTCTACAGCAGAGTTCTCTGGATATAAAAGAGAAGATTTCCCCTGTAGGGCTCAGGGGCTGCCTGGCTGTGCATGTACCAGGAGCCAGCAGCAGGTTTGGATCTGACTGCTGTGAGGGACAACCTTTTCCTGACTGGTGCCACCACCCTCCCACCAGGGGTACCCCAAGAGCCTGGTGCTCCTCGCACCGGAGTTCCACTGGTCCCAAGGACTCTGCTAGCCCAGGAGTAAGCCGTGGCTACAGAGCCACGATAGAGCGCCGATATGCCCAGCCCAGGGGCACATGGAATGTGGGTGATACAGTGCCGGCTGTCACTGGAGCGGCCAGAGCCGTGTGTCACCCCGGGTACCAGAATAACCGGGCTTGGGCTGATCCTGATGATAATCCTAGGGTGAAAGTCTAGGGCAGCGTTTGTTTACCAAGCACGCAACCACGAGGATCGGCTGCGTGTCCTGAGCAGCGCCTGGGATGGCTCCTTAAGGCGGCCGGCCCAGGCTGTGGCGACACCGCTGCCGGAACAGCCGTGCAGGCGGCCGGAGCCAGCCGGGATGTGGTTCCTTCCCCCGCGCCCCTGGGAGGAGTGACGGAGGGGGAGGCTCCGCTCCGGACGCTGCGCACCATAAAGCCAGGCTGCGGGCCGGCCTCACGGGTGGGGACACCCCGGCAGAGACCCTCGCACGGCTCCGTGCCAGCCGCCAGCCCTCCCTGGGCTGCTCATCCCGCGGCTGCAGGTCGGTGAAAGCTGTGCCCACAGCAGGCACCGGGACAGCACAGCAGGAATCTCCCCGGGGAAGGGAGAGGGCGAAGGGCAGGCAGAGAGGGGCTGTCAGCCACCCGGGAGGGAGCCGTGGGTCCCCACAGCACGGCACAGCACTCCAGGGCACCTCCACGGCCTGGACTTGGCATGGGCTGGGAGGTTTTGAGGCTCCCTGGTACTTGGTAGGGTTTCTCCTCAAGACATCCAGAGGCAACACCACTGCAGGGCAAAACCCAGCGCTGATCAGACCCACACCTGACGGGGGACAGCAGTGGCTCTGCAACCCCAGACAAACTTCTGAAGGGCTGCCTGTCTTGTTTGGGACCTCTTTGGTACAGCAGGGTGCAAGTCTTGCAAGCCTCGCCGTCCGAAGCTGTTCTCAGGCAGAGAGAGCCAGTGGTGGAGGACAGCATGGCAAAGAAGGTGGCCATCATCGGTGGGGGCAGCAGCGGGCTGTGCGCCATCAAAGCCTGCCTGCAAGAGGGGCTGGAGCCCGTCTGCTTCGAGAGGACCGGCGACATCGGAGGCCTCTGGAGGTTTGAGGTAAACCCTGCCGGCCACGTGTCCTGCTTGGGGTCAGCACGGTGACCCTCAGGGTCAGCGGTGGCTGCTGGGGTGGCAACCGACCACAGTGGGATCCTGTGGGTGAGACTGAAGGAAGGGGCTCCATGGAAAGGAGCATCTCATCAGCCCCAGCCATCCTTCCCCACCATTTCCCGGCCAGCGCTGAGCTGTGCCCCGCTCCCACAGGAGCGCCCCGAGGACGGCCGTGCCAGCATCTACCGCTCCGTCATCATCAACACCTCCAAGGAGATGATGTGCTTCAGCGACTTCCCCATCCGTCATCATCAACACCTCCAAGGAGATGATGTGCTTCAGCGACTTCCCCATCCCCGAGGACTTCCCCAACTACATGCACAACTCCAAGATCATGGAGTATTTCCGCATGTACGCCCAGCACTTTGACCTGCTCCGCCACATCCGCTTCAGGGTGAGAGCTGGGGCCCGAGGGGCGGGTGGCAGCGGGAACGGGGGGCACGGGGTGCCTGACACCGCTGCCCCCGCGCCCAGACCAGCGTGTGCCGCGTGTCCAAGCGTCCCGACTTCGCCAGCAGCGGCCAGTGGGAGGTGGTGACGGAGAGCCAGGGGAAGCAGGAGGCGGCCGTCTTTGACGCCGTGCTGGTGTGCAGTGGGCACCACACCGACGCACATCTCCCGCTCGGTTCCTTCCCAGGTACTGCCCTCTACACTGCCATGGGGGGGACACTCTGGAAAGCTCGTCCATGCCAGTCCCTATTCTCCCTGCTGCTTCCCCTCCTGGCCCCAGCATTTCCCTGCCTTGCTTTGACTCCAGGAGTGCTCCTGTGCTTCCCAGGAGTGGTTTGGTGGGGCAAGGGAGCGTCTCCAGTCTTTAGGGGGGTGATCCTCCAACCTGGCACCAGGAAGCCAAGCATCCCTCCTCCCTGCTCACAGGAATTGAGAAGTTCAAGGGCCGCTACCTCCACAGCCGAGACTACAAGGATGCTCAGGCTTTCACAAACAAAAGGGTTGTTGTCATCGGGATCGGGAATTCAGGGTCAGACCTGGCTGTGGAGATCAGCCAAACCGCCCAGCAGGTAAGCAGGGCAGGACTGCCCCTGTGGGACACTGTCAGCTCTGCAGGGACACCAGGACCAAGGCACTTGCACAGTTGCTGCTCTGTGCCAGCATTCGCTGTGTTTGGCAGTGCTGGCTCCTGCCAATCCCAGCTGCCAGGCAATTGAGACTTGGTCCCACTCCCCTCTGAGGTGCCAGTCACCAGCTCCCTCTGCTCTCTGGGCAGCTTGGGCAGCAAAAAGCAGAGATCCCAGGGCAAGGGCATGTCCTCCACAGGGCAGCACTCCCAGGAACAACACTGCCTTCAGGAAGTGATCCTTCTTCCTTGTCCAGGTCTTCCTCAGCACCCGCCGGGGTGCGTGGATCCTCAACCGCGTTGGAGATCAGGGCTACCCCATCGACACCATCTTAACCACCCGCATCAAGACATTCCTGCAGGGGCTGTTCAGCTTATCTGTGGCATGTGACTACATGGAGAGCAAGCTGAATGCCAGGTTTGACCACTCACGTTACGGCCTGAAGCCAAAGCACAGGTATCAACAAACACTGTCCCTGCCCAGAAGGGATTGTCTGCCTCCCTCTGTGTCCTGCCCAGCTGTCCTGTTCCATGCTCCCTGTGCTTGGATTGGGTTATCAGATTTGTTGTGCCCAGGCTTGAGAGAGCCACCACTGCCCCTTCCAAGGACTCTTGGAGACAGTAGTGCAGGAGGAGCTGCTGAGCATCCCTGGGGATGAGCATTCCCAGAGCCGGGAGCAGCAGCTGGAGCAGGACATGGAGTAGAAACACTTTCCCTTGCCCTTGCCCTAATGGCTCCTTGCACCTTCCAGGGTCTTTCACCAGCACCCTACAGTCAACGATGACCTGCCCAACCGCATCATTTCGGGCCGGGTGCGGGTGAAGCCGAACATCCAGGAGTTCACGGAGACATCTGCCATCTTTGAGGATGGCACCAGGGAAGACGTCGATGCCGTAGTTTTTGCCACGGGATACAGCTTCTCCTTCCCATTCCTTGAGGGCTTCAAGGTGGTGGAGAACCAGATTCCCCTCTACAAATTCATGTTTCCCCCTGACCTGGAGAAGCCGACGCTGGCTTTCATTGGTTTCGTCCAGCCCCTGGGTGCCATCATGCCCATCTCCGAGCTCCAGTGTCGCTGGGCCACCCGTGTCTTCAAAGGTAAGTCAGGAAAACTTGCCCTGTGGATGCGGCCCTGGAGTGAGGGCAGATGGTGCCCAGCCACGTCGAGCAGGCAGCAGCTGGTTGTGCCGTCCTGGCCATGGTGATGGCACAGCTGCCTTGCGGCTGTCACGGTGAGATGGCCTCTTCTCTGAGAGGCACAGGGACACGCATACCCTGAGCTCCACGGGCTGCTCCTTCCCATCCTGAGGCACTCGGACATGCCTCTGGTGCTAGACCACACACCACAGTGGTGCTGGCAGAGGCACAGCACCCAGGCAAGGGCAGCACCACAGTGGCCGCTGTGTCTCATCCTCCTCAGGGCTGAACGAGCTGCCCCCGCAGCACGACATGGAGGCTGACATTGAGCAGAAGAAAGAACTGATGGCAAAGCGGTAAGATCCCTGCGGGACCACCGAGGGGCTGCCTTTGGCACAGCTGCTTATGGGCATCAATCCTGTCCCATGGATGCGTCCTGGCACATCTGTGTGTGCCAGCAGAGGGCAGGGATGTGGTTGGCTGCACCACCCCCAATCTGGTCTGTCCAATACCACCTTCCTGGCGTGCAGGGCATCTGCCAGCTCTGCTTCCAGCACCTACCTGCCCTCCCTCCCTGCCCACAGGTACGTGAAGAGCCAGCGCCACACCATCCAGGTGGATTACGTCCCTTACATGGATGAGCTCGCCTGCCAGCTGGGAGTCAAGCCCAACCTGCTCACCCTGTTCCTCACAGACCCCAAGCTGGCCATGGAGGTGGCCTTCGGGCCTTGCACGCCGTACCAGTACCGGCTGCGGGGCCCGGGCGCGTGGCCGGGGGCCAGGGAGGCCATCCTCACCCAGCAGCAACGCATCCTCAAGCCCCTGCAGACACGGCACGTGGAAGAGAGCACCTCAGCCCCTACCATGCCCCTCATCTTCAAGCTGGTTGGGGCTGTGGCCATCCTGGCAGCTGTTTTTGCTTACTTGTAGATGCCCTGCAAGGGCAGGAAGGGAGGCTTTGCAATGTGCTGTGGGGCTGGCTGGTCACTGCTGCCCCTTGGCTGTCTGTGCACCCCCATGGTGGCAGAAACCTTCCTCCCGCCTGGCATGGCCCAGCTGTGACCACACCATGAGCTAGGGATGCACAGAACCTTCCCAGCTGCCAAAATAATGCTTGGGCTCCTGCTTTGCACCTCCCCTTCGGGAGTGCTGTCATGGATAGAGGAGGAAACCTGCTCACTGCAGGCTAAATTCCAGCCCCCCTCAGCCAGTGCTCCAGGCTTTTCTGTCCTCTGTAACCCAGCTGTTCCAATTTTGCCACACGCAGCAGAGCTAAGCAGCAAAGGCACAGCACACTTTCTAAGTGGATAAATGCATTAAACAGCCAAGTGTCTGTCCTGTTACTGAGACCATCATGACCCTCTGTGTGCTGGAGGGATGCTCGCGGGTTTGAGATTGGCCCTGTAGCACTGGCCCACTACACCATGGGCTGACATGCACACACATTCCACAGCAAGACAACCTCTCTCAAGGTTTGGGTCACAGTGGCAGGGCTCCTTGCCACTCTGGTCACCTGCACACAGCCACTCTGGAAGGCAGCTAGGGACCCAGACTGGGTAAAGGATGGGGCTCCTGTCCATCACATGCCTGGGCTGGTCATGCCAGTCCTCCGCCATCTCCTAGGCTTGTTTTCCATCCCACAACCTGCCAAAATCTGAAGCACAACCACATCTCTGCCCTGCCCAGGAAGTCCCGGGGCAATGTCGGCATCATTAAATGCTTACTTTATGAAGCTGATGTGCCTCTTGCAGAGGTCAGGTGAAAGCAGGAGGTGTGGCAGGGTGGTGAGGGAAACCTGTAGATCATGTCAGGAAGAAACACATCTTGTGACGCCTTGACCGCCCACTTGAAGCACAGGGACAATCATCCCCAAACTGAGCAGCACCGGGCAGCCTCACTTCAGAGACACACCCGGCTCTGCAACTCCCAGCCACAGCTTCTCCAGTACCCCTGCCACCAGCACCCCGTGGGACATGGCTGCCCGGAGAGTAGCCATCATCGGTGCCGGTGCCTCTGGCCTGTGCGCCCTGAAATGCTGCCTGGAGGAGGGGCTGGAGCCCACCTGCTTTGAGAGGAGCAAGGACATCGGGGGGCTGTGGCGCTTTGAGGTAAGCCCTGTGCAGCCAGCCTGCTCCTTGGCAGCAGCATGGATGGGCTTGGGATTGGTCCTTGGCAGGGAACAAGGCACTGCTCCCCTGCTTTGAGTGCGTGCAGCAGGCAGGTTCCCAAGGAAAACCACAGGAAAGTAAAACTGATTTGGTAACGTGGTGCCAGCTGGTGCACCAGGCACATAGGACCCAGTCCTGCCCACCAGAAGCAGAGTGAAGCCTCCCCAAGGACCTGACTCCATGGCTTGCTCACCCAGCTCAGACTTCCCCTTTCCCATCCCTCCCTTCCCCCTCTCATCCACACCTTCCCCTGCCATTTTGCTTTTTTTGCTTTGCCATTTTGCTCCCAGCTCCTTCCTACCTATCCCACCCCACTGTCTGACCCTTTGCCTGTACTGCCCAGCCCTTTCCTAGAATCATGGTTGTGCCTCTTCTTGCCCCTGTGCCACTCTCCCACACAGAAACACCACGTGTTGCCTTCTCTGTGCCTTGGCTCTCCCTGCCTTGGAGCAATCCTGGAGCTCTTCTCTGCCCCCACCTACTGAGGCTGCTGAATTTTATCCCATGGACCCAGGAACAAGATGACCAGTGTTCCCACCATGCCTTGATACGTGTGGGAGAGCCCTGGGGGAACACAGGTGGCACCATGCCAGAGTGGGGTCTGGGGTGGATCTGTCACAGTCTGCTAGTTCTACCTGTAATGGGTCAAGGACAGGCTTGGTGGAGCACAACCAGAGCAGCAGCATCCAGCTGCCAAGGCACAGGCCTGGTAAGCAGGAGCAACCATGCAGCAGCCAGCACTGGAGCTGGCTCCACAACCAGCAATACCTGATGTGGCAGCCACAGGAGCTTTGTGAACGCACTACCTCACAGGGGCAAGGAGTGGAAGTGGGGAAACTGAGGCACGAGACCACCATGACCCACTGTCACCGCTGCCTGGCTCCTGCCAGTCCAGAGCTATATCCCTGTTTTATGGGGTGGGGAGTCTGAACCACAGGAGAGCGCTGGGTGCTACAACAACCTATGGCTTAATCCTGCACCCATAGTGGAGGTGCCAGGCAGGGCAAGGAGGCAGCCCATCATTCCCCGGCCAGCGCTGAGCTGTGCCCCGCTCCCACAGGAGCGCCCCGAGGACGGCCGTGCCAGCATCTACCGCTCCGTCATCATCAACACCTCCAAGGAGATGATGTGCTTCAGCGACTTCCCCATCCCCGAGGACTTCCCCAACTACATGCACAACTCCAAGATCATGGAGTATTTCCGCATGTACGCCCAGCACTTTGACCTGCTCCGCCACATCCGC